ACATGTGAGGAGGGCCTGCAGGTCTTTGCCCCGACCTTGACCTTTCATGTCAGTAGGATTTCTAATTGCTGTTTCTTCAAGATGCGCCGATTAACTCTTTCCGTTTGCATATATATTTCCAACTTAGGCAATGAATTCCCGGAAAAGCTTCGTGAGAGTTTCGTCTCCCGACTTTCCAGCCCGAGGCGCTCTTCTGGGACGCCATCCAATTAATGTTTAATAAACCTTGCAGCTGATATTATGGCCTGTTCAGAGAACTAGTCTTGCTATCATCCAGTCCAAGATATGTAACGACTTCCAGTCTTAGAATGTATCAAAAAGCCAAGCAAACTGCGGTATGCATGTATCGGCCATTGACCATTACGCGTTGAGTACACTTGAGGCGTCATCAGTCGAGGCAGCGGAATTTGGCCTGACGGTTATGGCTTCTGTTCCAGCGCCTTGGTTCCAGGAACCCTCATCTTGTTTTGCTGATGTCCGCTTGTAATTCTAGACCTCAATGGGAGAAAGGTGATAATTTTCGCACCAGCTTGAGTATCCCATTATATTTAAATCTTGATACTAAGGCCGGAAATTGGTTTCCGAGTGTCTGTCGCGGCGTTCGTGATACCGGTCGGTCTTACGAGAATCACATTTACGTAAGACACGTGGCCCAGCCATTCCTGAAATAGTTCAAAGTTCATCTAAGCCCGACGGAGGCAAGCTCCAAGCAGCGTTATCATGACCCAAGAGACAAGCCTGAAAATAAAATCGTGGTGATGTTTCCGGTTTTGGCGGGGACGCAGCCTAGTTCGTGCCCTCGTTTGAGTCAACTGGTACGTTTTATGATCTAGCCATGTGCTCATATAACTACATGCATACGTGGCACAATTGCTGCTGCCTGAAAAGTCTGCTGATACAAGCTGCTATGATCAACACTTGTAGTGCAGCAAAACAAGGTGTTCGCGATCATCAGCATCATACCAGTCTACTGGAACCCGAGCATTGACTTGCGTCCCGGTATTTCGAGCCCTCCTCCCCACCTGCACTCAATTATCGTCGAAGGTGCCGCCCACGAGTCGGTCTAGCAATCGACGAGCAGCCATTCAACGACGACGAGGTGATTTGTCGCGTGCCGACCAAACGCAGACGGTCGTGAAATTATCAGGCAGTCAATAATCCCGGCCGGCGGCCTCTCCCCCCCCCCCCCCCGCGGCCGACAGATGGCGCTGCCGGCGTGCGAACAGCTGATCATTGTTGTCAAATTCAGTGTTGAATGGGTTGTCAGATGTTAAACTGTGCCGAGGGAACGACTAACTATCGCTCAACTGCAAAAAAATGCGTAGTTTCCTATTTAGCTGCCCATTCCCCTAACTTGGGGTGCAGCCCCCAACTTTGAGAAGGATGTGATTATGTACAAAGGTCGGGGAGCACCAGTTTGTTGGCCATTTTGGGATGGATTTCGTTATTTTTACTGTTTTGGCCCCCCTGCCCCAACTCGTTCTGCGAAATCAGGAAACGTCAGAATACGTACCACCAGTTCTTTAAGAGCATGATATCCCTGATTACAAGCTGACGAAAACGCTCTGCAAAAAAAACATTGTTCATCACAATTGCCAAACGAAGGACCTAACGACATTATCAAACTTAACATCCTTACAAAAGGTCATCTACATTCTCCTTGATCATGCAAAACAATCCTTCACATGATTCAGTTTTGCCACTAGAAAACAACGTCATATACTACTATAAATGCAACATAGGAGACTGCGTTCCCACCTGATACGAAACATATTGGCAACACAGCAACGACACTTTCCAGACGTTTGACTTAGCACTTACAAAACGGCGGCCCACGCACACACGCGGAGACCGAACGCAAAACTCATCTGACACGCCAAATGCTCAACATCACAAAAGTCCTCGCACGCTCCACACAGAGCCGAAGACTCGTCACCCTAGAAACGATACACATCTGCGAATGGGACCCTCTCATTAACAAATAAATGTGCGTGGAATCCTCCATCTGCGCGGATGGCTACCATGAGGACGGAGAGCGCGGAGGCATTGAGTGTTCTACGTGTCGCGGGAGAGCTTCGTTACCTGACCATGAGCGTATATTTTATGCGTAACTGCTTATGTCTGTATAATGATATGTTTGAAGTATGTTTGTGTTGTACCAGCATTGTGTTACAATAACAAAACAAAAGAACAGAAAGGCTGATATATGCGGACATAATATCCATGTTAAAAAGTCACGAGAGAACTTGAATTTTACAGATACACGATTATATCGACTTTTCTAAAACTGTAAATCTAGAAAATGTCCATTGAGAAATGAAACGTTGAGAATATAACTTATACTTTGTAGTCCATATACAGTAACTTATACTATATAGTCCGATATAATATAGTCCATGCAGTATGACAAACTATATCTTTTTAGCGCGGATTATTGGCAATATTTACCGTTGATATATCTTAAAAGATATAGATTGGGGTTTATGTATGGCAACCTAAATGAACGCACCACGTAATACCTACCACGCCCACCGCCAGAAGACCGCCATAGTGAGTGGGCGGTGTGGCGCGCCGTTTGTATTTACGCATGCCCGAACAATGCATCATGTGAAGACGAGGCAGACGGATGGAGGGGGGGGGGAGGGGGCACGAAATGGATGCTGATGTTCCCGGCCACGCAGCGCCGACATAGCCGCATTACTTTCCGAGACAGATGGCAGGAAACCATTTCCTCGTTCCGTCCGAAAGCGAATGGAGGAGAAAGACTAGATCTGGCTGTAGGGCCTCACGTGGGCTTTCCCCTATCATGTGGTAAATGAAACACGTTAACAACTCGATAGATCCTGCACGAAACTGGATCATGACGTGATTTAAGCAATGAGATTCATCACGCGTATATACGAGAACATATCTTGATGCTTAAAGTAACAAATGAAGGGGTTAGTCTTCTAGGACCGGGGGGGGGGGGGGGGGGGGGCACCGCCAGTACTGGGCAGGCTAGTCTTCTAGGACCATGAGGGCACCGCCAGTACTGGCCAGGCTAGTCTTCTAGGACCATGGGGGCACCGCCAGTACTGGGCAGGCTAGTCTCCTAGGACCATGGGGGCACCGCCGGTACTGGGCAGGCTAGTCTCCTAGGACCATGGGGGCACCGCCAGTACTGGCCAGGCTAGTCTCCTAGGACCATGGGGGCACCGCCAGTACTGGCCAGGCTAGTCTCCTAGGACCATGGGGGCACCGCCAGTACTGGGCAGGCTAGTCTCCTAGGACCATGGGGGCACCGCCAGTACTGGCCAGGCTAGTCTCCTAGGACCATGGGGCACCGCCAGTACTGGCCAGGCTAGTCTTCTAGGACCATGGGGGCACCGCCAGTACTGGCCAGGCTAGTCTCCTAGGACCATGGGGGCACCGCCAGTACTGGCCAGGCTAGTCTTCTAGGACCATGGGGGCACTGCCAGTACTGGCCAGGCTAGTCTTCTAGGACCATGGGGGCACCGCCAGTACTGGCCAGGCTAGTCTCCTATGACCATGGGGGCACCGCCAGTACTGGGCAGGCTAGTCTTCTAGGACCATGGGGGCACCGCCAGTACTGGCCAGGATAGTCTTCTAGGACCATGGTGGCAACCCCAGTACTGGCCAGGCTAGTCTCCTAGGACCATAGGGGCAACCGGCCAGGAATGGCCAGGCTAGTCTTCCGGACCATGGGGCACCGCCATACTGGCCAGGCCTAGTCTTCTAGGACCATGGGGCACCGCCAGTACTGGCGGGCTAGTCTTCTAGGACCATGGGCACCGCCATACTGGCCAGTCTAGTCTTCTAGGACCATGGGACCCGCCAGTACTGGCAGGCTAGTCTCCTAGGACCATGGGGGCACCAGTACTGGGCAGGCTAGTCTCTAGGACCATGGGGGCACCGCCAGTACTGGGCCAGGATAGTCTCTAGGACCATGGGGGCACCGCCAGTACTGGCCAGGCGTCTCCTAGTACCATGGGCACCGCCAGTACTGGCCAGGCTAGTCTTCCAGGACCATGGGGGCACCGCCAGTACTGGCCAGGCTAGTCTTCTATGACCATGGGGGGCACCGCCAGTACTGGCCAGCTAGTCTCCAGGCCATGGGGGCACCGCCAGTACTGGCCAGGCTAGTCTTCTAGACCATGGGGGCACCGCCAGTACTGGCCAGGCTAGTCTTCCGGACCATAGGGGCAACCGCCAGTACTGGCCAGGCTAGTCTTCCAGTACCATGGGCACCGTCCCGTACTGGCCAGCTAGTCAGGGGGGCACCGCCAGTACTGACGCAGGCTAGTCTCTAGGCCAGGGGGCACCGCCAGTACTGGCCAGGCTAGTCTCCTAGGACCATGGGGGCACCGCCAGTACTGGCCAGGCTAGTCTTACCGAGCGAGCGGCGATATAATGCTTCACCCATCCACCCCTGACACGCCGATGTAATGCTTCGCGCACACCGCGCACAATGTGCGGGAGGCTAAAAGCAGGAGTAATCACTGAGTTGCTGTCAAGGCAGTTAAGTCAATCGTTCTTGCGTAAATACAGATTTCGGGGCAAGGATACCTGTTGAACTGTTTGATAATTTTCGTAAATCTACGTCGGTATGGTAGTTAATAGCGTGAGATCGACATCCGCCTATCAGAGAATAACTTAGCAGTTTCAAGAGCCGAAGTGGGGTCGCCATGAAAGCCTCCTGACAGCCCTTAGTGCCCGCCAGTTCGCTGGAAGTTTTCGGATTCGTCGCTGGCTTGTCGGTCTGTTTTAGACGACTTAGCAATAGCAGGAGAGGATGATCGATGCGGCCTCCCGTCGGCTGCGTTGGCGGGCGCGCACTGCTGACGTTCGCTGCGCCGATCAGAGCGCCCGACGGCCGACACCAGCTCACCCGCGGCTCCGCTGCTTTCAGTATCCATGCCAGCGGTGACGCCATGACGGAAGCCTGGCGGACAAGTTGGACGCCGCCGCCGCCGCCGCTGCTGCTGCCGTGCCTGCTGCTGCTGCTGGCCGGCTCCTCGGCCCGCGCCGATCCCGGCGACCCTCGCGTCGTCCAGCTGCCGGGCGACGTGACCTTCGGCGGCCTCTTCCCCATGCACGAGCAGCGCAGCAAGGGCGGCCAGGCGTCCTGCGGCAAGATCAAGGAGGAGAAGGGCATCCAGCGCATGGAGGCGATGCTCTGGGCGGTGGACGAGATCAACCGAGACGCCGACCTGCTCCCAGGAATCAATATCGGCGTCCGCATACTGGACACGTGCAGCAGCGGCACGTACGCGCTCGACCAGTCCATGGAGTTTGTCAGGAGCAACATGAACCAGGTCAGTCGGCGCGAAGCGCTTCCTAGAAAGGGTGACGCGATAGTCAGAGGACGGGGATGGAAGGTTACCTTGCTAGGTCCGGTGGTGCACCGGAAGCGATCTCGTTCCGGTCGCTATTCCTGGAGCGAAAGGCTCTCTTGTGAGATTAGCGGAGAGCAGGGTTTAATCATAGCGCATCTCTCAGCCTCAGCGTATAATCGACCTTCAAACGCAGCCGGCGGGGGCTCTTGGGGCTGCTTAAGGTCGCCTCGGCAGCCTGGCTGGGCCCCATCCTGTCCAGTCTCTGCACTGCGTCCGTCATCCAGGATGAGCAGGGAAAGTGTCGCGACGTGGGTGACATAGGCTCGCAGTCGCCGTGAATGGAACGAAACATTCTTATGCCCTAGAAATTTGACTCGCTTACTTGACTAGTTCTTTTGCTGACAAATTTGAGGTTAATTAGCTATCTTCGAAGGCAGTGTAATGTAGTTAACGCACAATACGAAAAGGCAAAGGATTTATCTCATCCTCAGGTCATTTTAGTTATTGGAACGTCCCCTAGTCACTGGGGAGCTCATAATGGTCCTGAAATGCTGTGATTGCGGCTATCAGTACAGCGAAACAGTTTGATACAACCCATTCAGTAGCACGACATCCCAAAGGCGCTGATCACAACAGCGCGTACCGCGATGTCCCTTACCCTCCCTCCCTCCCTCCCTCCACGTGCACCACGCGTACCGAGAGCTCACGTCTGTGACAGAAATAATTACGGCCGTGTCCTGGGCCGGCGTACCGCGCCGCGTCTGCCGCACGTCCCGCCGTTGCCGCCGGCCGTCAGCCGACCCCGTGACCCCGGGCTCGGGCTGGGCGCTCCTGTGCCGCCCGCCCGGCAACAGTCCATATCAGACTGCCGACCCGCGAACACAATCCGTCCGGCCCGATATAAAACTCGCTTTCAAGGCGTGCACTTGGCGGCGTCCAATTAGCCTAACAAAACAAACCAGGCGCGGCGAGAAGCGCCGCGGCGGCACGCTGGGATCCAATTGAACGCGGAACAGCGCCCGTCCGAGGGCCCTCGGGCTCATTGGGGCGCGCCGCGTCTAATGGAAGCCATGGGGAGCCTCTCAGCTGGGTGAATGGAGAGCACTTCACTGGTCCGGATAAAACGTGCAAAATGGGGTCAGATGCGCTATTTGCAGCTGGCTGTGAACTTTTGGGGCGAGCCAGCACTACGCCAGCTGGCCGCGCGCACGCTCTTGGGAGCGTGTGAAGCGCAGCCCGCTTTTATCTCGACGCATTAGGGATCTCTCGAATTTGAAGCTCACCCCCGGTATGAGTGTGATGCTTGGTTTTGAGCAGCCGGTACCCCTTTTGTAGCGCAGAAGCGCATAGCGAGATGGATTAACGAATATTGCACGCATTGGTGGCCATCTAATCCACACCTCACGCGCATGCACCGGACAATGGCGCTTGGGCTGCCCGTCAGCACCTTTGAATATTTATTGATGCATTAAACTGCTGGTGCCATTGGCGCCACAACCCTTCATGGCAGGTGTGGCTTGGGTTTTACGAAATATGTAGCGGCAGTTAACAAGCCTGAGCGTTTTGGTAACTAGTCGGCGTGTCATTCTGTGACATCTGCACTGCTCCACTTCCGTAGCAATGCGGCGTTCCCGATTGATAGCTACTGTTGTCGTTGTGCACGAGTTGTCCATGGATAACCGTTTCCAGTTTTCAAAGTGGGACAGAGACTGTGCTGCCGCTGAACCCCACCTCCCGTTGTTCCTAAATGTTTATGCCCCCAGTGATTTTGGCCGCGAATTTTTCGGACATAACTCACGAGGTGTCTTTTTGGATAGACTTTTGAGTTTATCATGTCCGTTGAACGCCGCTCAAACTCCTCATCATCAGTCGGTGTTCGCTGATATTCTTTCGGTGTCGGGAACTAACGAGGGAGCGCTCTAAATCCCGAGTATCACTCCAACTTTCCTCCCAAGCAATCAACAGTCGCACGGTCAGCTGAACCGCAAACAGATGCGAACTTAAGGTAATATCATATGTTTGTAACGGACATGGGGTGCGCACGGCATGTTATCAAAGTCAGCTATTGGCTTGCTTATGTCTCAGACCATAACAGAGCCATATCCTACTATGTGACAACAAAGGTTGCCGTGCAGACATGTGTGAAGATCCCCAGAAATATGTTGGAGTCTCATATCTTAGATCTGGATCCTGGATAACAAGTCGTGAAGCAGGCGTCTTAACATGATGGGAGGCACATTGCTCAGGTATATTTGCCTTTTCAATGAGAATGATTGCCTAATTTGCATGCCTTGTTCCCTGGAGCTTTTGTGTCACTGCCCAAACCATGTTTTGTATGAGGCTACATCATGACAAAATTAAACTACATTTCTGAAAGCGGCCCCAGGACCTGCCGCTGATTGCGTGCGGCGCCCGGGTAGGCCGCTGCTGGAGTGCGGCGCCCACGTCGGCCGTTGCTGGAGTGTGGCGCCCAGGTCGGCCGCTGCTGGAGTGCGGAGCCCGGGTGCGCCGCGGCTGGAGTGCGGCGCCCGGGTCGGCCGCTGCTGGAGTGTGGCGCCCGGGTGTGCCGCGGTTGGAGTGCGGCGCCAGGGTCTGCCGCTAATGGAGTGCGGAGTCCGGGTGTGCCGCTGGTGGAGTGGGGCGCTCGGGTCGGCCGCTGCTGGAGTGTGGCGCCCGGGTGCGCCGCTGCTGGAGTGCGGCGTCAGGGTCTGCCGTTAATGGAGTGCGGCGCCCGGGTCTGCCGTTAATGGAGTGCGGAGTCCGGGTGTGCCGCTGGTGGAGTGGGGTACTCGGGTCGGCCGCTGCTGGAGTGTGGCGCCCGGGTGCGCTGCTGCTGGAGTGCGGCGTCAGGGTCTGCCGTTAATGGAGTGCGGCGCCCGGGTCGGCCGCTAATGGAGTGCGGCGCCCGGGTCTGCCGCTAATGAGGTGCGGCGCCCGGGTTGGCCGCTCCTGAAGAGTGGTGCAAAAACGCGGGTGCCGTGCCTGCCACTGCTGGAAGGCAGAGGCAGTGCTTGTGGCAGTACAGTGAGAGTGCTTCACCCGCATCGACGGCTTTTGGAGGGGTGAGCGGTGCTTGTGTGTGCTGCTGCTGGAGCAGCGTGCAGCACGCTGGTCTTCCGATATCGGCACTGAAGAAATCCTGAAGAAAGAGAGTGCGGCACCAGGTCATCGTCTCCGGGCTTCCCGGGTCATGCGAGTCACCCGTTGTTGGAGCAGGAGTGTTCTGGCTCCCTGGTATGCTGGGAAGCTGGAAGAGAGTGCGTCACTCGGGTCTGCCGCGGTACGTCACGAGGCTGTCGTTACGGGGGAAGGAGAACAGGCCACCTAGGTCCCCAGAGGATCGTTAGTCACCATGCGACCGCCGGACCTACCATGCTGCCCAGACAAGTCCTAGCTCGCCGAGCTGTTCGGAGGGAGTCTCCTGTGTGGCCATGACTGCGCTGTGCTGGGCCGCCGGCGGCTCGCCCGCCGAAACCACTAGCCATCGTTGGCCGTATCCGGCACATCACTAGGGTTCGCTGATGTATGGCAGCGGGCCGTTCCCAAGCGCTGCCGTATCGGGCAGAACGTCCTCGTGCAGAACCCCAAGACGAGTCTGTGCGGCCGGTCGGGGGGGGGGGGGGGGGGGGGGGATCACGCGCGCCGGCAGGCGGTGAGACTGTCTGGTACGCCTGCCTGGTGGGCGCTTGCGCTGTGGCAACTACCGGTATCTTGACGCCTACGACCGCCCGCGGCGGTCGCGCGGAGTGGTGGCAGCGATCGAGACAGCAGCGATGGCGGCTGCCGCACCATCGGCGGCGACGGCGGCATTTACGCTGGCGGCTGCCGCGACGACGACCGTGATGACGCCCAATGCAAGGTTCGCGTGAGTCATGGGATATGGTATTTCTCCCGTTAAAATTGCGAGTTGAAGCCGAATGCGTTCGGCGGCTGAAATTTCGCCTGTTCAGTAACTCTTGCGGTCCGCCGACGGAGTATTTCCCTATGACGTCACGTAGTGGAGTGTGAATAAATCGCGTGGTGGCTATCTCGCATGTACGTCCTTGTTGTACCTGTTCAGCCACTTTGTACGGGCATGATGTCTCGTCAACGTCCGCCCGTTGTCCGCCACACGACGCCGCACAGCCTATGGAGACTGCAATACCGGGAGTCGGTTTTTTTGTTTCTACGACTTTCCAGCGCGCATGTTCAGAGCTATGTTTCCACTATGAGTGCACTAAGAGATTGTTCATTGAATATGGTGGAATGGATTGGTGGATCATTCAAAGCACACATTTAATGCCCGCTTACTTCAGTTAATTCACATCAAAATTCAAACAGAACTTTATTTTCCGGCTGCTTCTGGCTTCTAATTCAGTTCAACAAGTTAAAAATACGAATGAAGCGGAGAAAGCCGTGCCTCCTTGAAATCAAGTATGGTAAATCTGGTGATACTTTCCATGGGGGTCGCTTTTACCATTAGGGAAACCTTTGCTAACCTTGCGCCCCTCTCCCTAACAAGACCCTGCCTGCGCCACTGACAGGAGGATGTTTCTTAGTGGTTGTGTAAAAGTCAGCGTGAAAAACTGCACAAGTTAAGAAAACCTGTTCGCATATTCAGAAACATGAAGAGTTCTTTAAACTGTATTATACAGGTTATAAACCAAGTCAACAAAAGCAAATGAGGTTCACGCAGCATTGGTGCATAATTATCATACACCAGAAGCAAGTGCATTCACCAAACAAAAATAAAGGAGCAAGAAATTGCCCACTTTTGCCATGCGACACCACAGCTCCCGGACATTACATTGTATACAGGTATGGACCTAGGCCGTCATGTCTCCAAACGTGCCCTTCATTTCAAAATACTTCCCATGGTGATTGTTTTTGGTCACTTTTGGATGTAAATAGTAATCCAACTAAGCCTACTGTTGGCATCAAGCCAGAAAACAATACACACTTCCGCTGCTTTCCACAACGGGCATTTCTCAAACCTTGTA